GGCAATGAACAGTCATATTGTTTTTACTTCCTTAAACTTCTACCTGTAGCTGCCCACACAAGGTAAATGAACTAGGCCAACTCCTGTTTCCTTGTTCTAGAAAGCCCTGCCTGCTTCTGCACTCCCTTTATAAGCTTTAAAGACCATCCAATAAGTAGCAGTGAAAATCATTTTAATGTTTTAGTAACTGATACTTTCATTCCAAAACATACTATTGTTTTAGAACAATGTTAAATTAAGCTATCACATATTTGCCTACACACACAAGCAGTACCCATCGCACACACAGTGCAGATTTAAGGTACATAATGAAGATATTTTGAAGTGAGGTATACTGTAGAATAGCAAGTAGCATATTTGCCCACGTGAAGTAGGAGACAGTTCATCCTTTGAGAGCAGAGCTATAAGCTATCTCAGTGTAGTGCAAGGTCTCGCAACCAGGCAGCTACCCCAGAACTCACATACCAAAATTTCCTGTCTTTGCATATCCCAAAGCGGTAAGTGTGTGTGCCGCCGTCATCTTGTTCTCAGGGATTTTTTCTTGCAAGCCCAAAGGCATACTTTTAATTGGGGAGTGTTAACCACAGACACTTAACAAACAGTGATTACTTGAGTTTTAATCAGTTCTGCAGGTTCTTCTAAAAGGAACTCGCACATTCAGGAAGCAAATCAACCCTCATAATGCTTTTTTAAGTTATAACCAGAAGAATTTTTTTCCCTCCTAAAGAGCAACAAGCCCTGACACAGTGTGACATAGGTAACAAACTGTGACTCTAATTAAGTGTGTAATTATACAGCAGATTGAAGCACAGTATGCTATTACTTAAATCAACTGACGTGCATGGCAGAAGCATGGCAGTCCCAGAAACACGGCATTCGATGCAGACTGAGCTGAACACATTAGGGACCATTTACAGTGGGGGTGAAGAATGAGCCAGCCTCAGTTCATCCAGGCTAGTGGCACCTGCACGCACCCAACAAAAAAAGGCAGCAGACATACAGAATTTCAAAGTCTAAAGGAGACTCAGAAGCAAGCTTGGGCAACCCTGTGGTGTGGCAGCTATCACGCAGTGTTTTCTTGCATCATAGCTTTGTACATATTTGTCTCAGTCTTTTTTTGGATGTGGATGTCAGTGTAGAGCTCTAATGCTGCAACTATTTTTTTTTTTTTCTTTCCCTTGAAATATGGTGAATTGGCAATACCTTTTGAAAGTTTTCTGTGCAAGACAAGTATTTGCCTTTTATCAAACTCCTCTTCCCCAAAAAGTAGGGATGTGTGCCATCACACCAGGCAGTTCCTAGATTTGAATACTGACAACTTGTGTAAATAACATTTACAGTGAGAATTTCTGTTAAATAATCCACACAAAACTGACCTACATTTGCAAATCTCCTCTGAACCACTGTAACAGAAATACACATGGCATTAAAAGCAAAGAGTTATCACAATACTGAATTCGGAGCTCTGTGTGTCCACTACAGTAGGGCTCAGGTAAGCGTGGTTTTGCTTCAGAGCTGCTGCCATTATCATTGTTGCTTTGGACACCTAGCAACAGATGGCACATTTCTGGGGAATTTTGCAGGCAAACACACACACTGTAAGGTACCATTTTGCCTTGTCTGGGAGGGCAGGTTGGGAGGACTAGGGACTGCAAGTAAACTCACACTGAACATATGGGAAAACATGCTCTGAAGTAACAGCAAGTCTCCCGAAAATCAGCAAAAGCAGCCTGAAAACTAATCTGCGATTACAAACATGACTATGATAACGACCATATCTGAGTAGACAGAATTTACCAAAGTGCCATTAGTGCATGGTTTCAAGCACAAAGCTTTATGCAAATCCCCAGTACCATACTTTCCAGGCAGGAGGAACAGGACTTGTCCCTGATCTACCCTGTGTGACTGATGGACACTCTATCTCACTTTTGGTCTTCAGGCTTGCATGGTTTAGTGAGAGGTTTTGGATGGTTGACTTCGAGCAGCTCTACCATTTGGTCCTCTCACTGCCAGCAATTAATTGTCATAGTGGTGGATGTCCTCACCTCACCTGGATCTCTCAGCAGAATGTAAAAAGGCTCTCAGTCTGCAGAAGACTTCAAAAAATAAGCATTTATAGGTTACATAGCAGAAAAAAAACGTGAAAAATACACTGTGCTGGAAGATGTGTGAAGGAAAACAGGTATATAGCAGCTTAAATAGGGTGAATAAAGCCCAGGAACATCAAATCAAACCAGAGAACAAAGTGAGCTACTTTTGTCTTGTGTGGGAACGGAAAAATGATGCCCAAGGATGGGCATCGTGGCAAACTTGTGAAACCAGTAGCAAATCATCTAACTTTCTGAAAATTTTTTCTGTCTAACTTTTCTGTACCTAATAATCTACTCTTGCTTTCAACATAAGACAGATAAAATTTAAATACTAATTTGGTTAAAGGTTGCCCACTGATCCTGACTGATTTCTCTCAATGCAAGCAGAGCTCTATATCCCACCGATAACACATAGTGCTTCAAAAGGGATAATTTCACAAAGAGGTGGGGAAAAAGGAAGTAAATTTAGATGCGGAAAGTCAGGCAAAAAAAACTGTGAATGAAAGTGGTTGTGGTTATTATTATCTTATTATTGATTATCACAGTTCCACCACACATGGTTTGATCAGAACTAAGCAAATCCCCCAGTGACAGATTAAATGATTCTGTTGGTTCCTGATTTAGTTTCCATTTAAAGAGATTGACAATTAATAGTCCTTTAAATAGTACCTGTCTCCAGACTGGTTCTTGTCCCCATTCCACCTGACACTGAAGCAAAAAATCCTCTTCTAATTCTTCCTTCCAAGGTGGATTCCTGTTGCACGTGCAGTAAAACCAAGCTTGCTTGAGCACAAAACCAAGGAGGAAAGCTTTACTGTTCTGCAGTGGCCAGTAGGGCCTACCTGAACAGTAGTATGTGCCTTGCTCTGAATTAAGCTGTCCCATTCATTTGCAGAGGTACACCCATTGAAAACTCCTGTCTATTATGTTATTGTTTATTACCTGTTTTCAGCATATGGCACTACAGTACTCTCATGTCATTTTGCAGGAGCTGAGATGATTTTCTGTATTTCTGAAAGTTCAGCTAGAGACTGGTTTTCAGATCCCACTCTTTATGCTGTGCCACAGTGATAACTGCCCTCTTGTAATACATTATGTCAGTAGAGCCCTATCTTTACTGCAGACTTGCTAAGGAATCATGCCTCAGTAGCTTCATCAGGCAATGAGCTTCCAAGTTCAAAAGTATCACTAACGAGAGCGATGTATTACTACTGTAGCACCAAAAATATTGAGTTGCTATTTATGTCTCATCAAGCATCACCAGAAAGCACGAGTCTGAAAATTTAGTTTTTCTCTTATGGTTACTATCTTTCCTCATTTCAAAATTAGCCAAAAAGGAACATTTGTGGAGAGGCTTCAGGAAATTAAAACAACTCATACTTGAGACAAATCAAATCATGTGAAGCATTTTGTTTGTGTCGACTCCTGTGTATAATCAGAGGCTATACATTAAGAACCAGAAAATCTAGACTTTCTGGAACATCTTTATGTTTTCCCAAACTCTAAGTTCAAAACAATATTGTCTAAATGTCCACTACATTTTGAGTCTATTGAAGTGGCATATTAAGATGGAGAAATGATTATGTGAACACTTTTTATTCATCATCACCAGTAGGCCAGATTATCATTTCAGTTGTACTGGCAAAATTCCCACTGTCTTCACTGTGCTTGCCAAAATACTAATCCTTTGACTTTGGTAAGACACACTGTTGAAGATGGCAAAAACCACCAGGGCACGCATTCCTCTTTCTTTGGTGTTTTTGGCTTTGATCCAGGACATGGGACTAAAAGTTTTAGCAGTTTACATTCAATCTGGTACAAATCTCGCATTTTTAGGAAGCAGTTTTTAGAACAGAAAAATACAGAGCCTAAGGACCAGAGACTGTTCTATAAGAAAATATTGTCCAATTCCAACCCTGAGGATCAGGGCCAGATTGTTCACATCAAATTTACAGAAAAAAAAAAATGAAAGGAAAAACAAAATTATATTGGGTTTTATTCAAACAAATATTAAAAAAAAACCTGAACACACTTTCCATTCAGATAAAATGCTTGGCAACCTTTTCATAACAAAATTACTTTAGGCTAAAACTATATTTTCAATGAGTTTATTTTACAGGAGTTCCCTTTAACAAATAAGCATAGGTCCTAGGAGTGGTTACTCGAAGAAGTAGGAGAGACAGTTCCACCTAATACTATTTCTACAATAACTCATATCCTGTCTACCTGGATAGTTTCCATCCAGTAGTAACTCATGCCATATTTTACTCAGTTTCTTCAACAGACACATGCTATTGCATTGAAAAAAAAAAATTGTGGCACACTGCTTAGTGTGGCACACTGCTCAATCTAATAAACTTCACTAAGAAACTGAACTATGTCTAGGCAATTTATAGGGTCAGAAGAACAAGGATGTATTTCATTACAGCCATTAGCATGAGCACATCTTGGCAAGAAGTTATACATTATTTATACGACACAAGACAAGAAAAATGGTCCAATTCAGCCTGAGAGAAACTCTGTGTACAAGAGGAAGTCAGACCCACTTTCATTTCTTCTGAATTTTTATATTTAACCGAAATGCCAAAGTTAGAAAGTTAGAGACCTTACATTTGTCTCATTAATGAGCAGAGAGGCAGTTCCAAAGGGCAACAGAAGGAACTCAGATGGGTTGAAACACTCTTAGACGTAACTGCTTCTCCCCAGTGAGAGAAAAGAGAGCAAAGACAATCCCTCTCCTAACTGAGGAAACTCAGGGTGGTTATGCCCCAAGAATGTGAGGAGATGAACCTGCACCTTTGTGTGAGTAGCTCATATCTCCTGCAGTAACTATTGCTACATTGTAAAATCCCATGTAAACAAACGCTTGAAATCATTGCTTTCAGTGCTGTTTTACGAACACAGCAATTTTCAAGAAAAAAACTCCTCTAGCCAATGCTTTGAGTGCTGTGTCTTCTGTTGCAGGTCTTTTGTCTTTCCCCAGTCCTTCACTGTGTGTTGCACATTCCACCTTTGTCCCATGCAGGTCGGCATTACAAGTCTGTATGAAACTGTCTGCTGTGATTTCAAGGCATCTTTTAGTGCTCCTGTTGATTACAGCTGATCCCTACAAAAGGAAAGGAAATACGAGAGAAGCTGAGGGCTTATAAATTTAGTAGTCAGTCAGGAAGCAATATTCTTGGCCTCTACAAATGAGAAACACCAGTAGGTCACAGACCTGAAATAAAAATGTTGCATTTTTCTCAGGCTAATGACACATGACAGCTTATGGAACTCTCCAAGGCATATTAAAATATAGTTAGAGGTTTACTTTGTGTTTTATTTTTGTGTCTGTCTGTTGGAGTTGGGAGAGGGGGAAGTGGTGTTTGGTTTTTGTGGGGTGTTTGGTGGGTTTTTTTACAGTTCAAAAAATCGTTTCAGTAAATTTTAATACTGCATCATTTTGAAAAAAAAGAGAGCTAATAATAGGTGAGAGAACATCTGTTTCTTATCTCTAGGTCAGTATTTCAGTACTAGCTATTGTGAATGGGATGGGGTGTGATAAAGTCAACTCATCACACTGGAAATGAGGATTTTCATAAGAGGCTGGACTCTAGAACAAAGAGGATCTTAACCAGCTCCTTCACGCAGCCATTTGTTTCACTGATAATGCTCAGTGCACATGAGGAACTGAAGGTTTAATTTTAAGGTGGGTCTAAATCTTCCAGAAACATACCTGCAACTTTTTTCTAACTTTTGTGGCTACATATCAGACTAAAGATAAAGGAAAGCCCATGCTAGAGGAAGTTCTGCAGACCATGTAGGTCTATACTATTTGGTGGACACCACTGAAACCTTTGTCTTTCACCAATTCAATACCTCTCTCCTCTACCACTCTCTCACAAGATTTGTCTGTTCCTTACTTTTTCACTGAGAAGGATACAGTAAGCAGGCCCATACATTACATGTAAAATTAATTAACCATTAATTACATAAAGCTAATAAGGTTTGAACCCTGAGAGAGAAGAAGCTGTATGGCTTCCTTTCCTACCTCTAGCTCCATTATTATTGCTGCTGCCTGTTTATCCTGCTCCAGCACCCTGGCAGTATCTGTCTTAGACTATCTGACCAAGCTAGCATTATCATACTCTGTATTCAGGGGCACCGAATACAGAAGATGAAAGTATCGTTTGGGATCTTACGCCTGCCAGCATCAGCTGGCATAAATCCTGCACAAATGGAGACAAGTGAACATGATGTGAAGGTGTGAAGGCTCTAATTGTCAGCTGTAACCTGAGCTCTGAAAGGACGAACCTAGCTTGATCTCCAACAAGGATTTCCATGCTCAGATGCTGGTACAGGAGATGGTACCAGAGAGTGAGCGGGACGAGACATCAGCCCTCTTTTTCCCTAAGACCGCAGAAGTCCCATGAAGAGGCTGGGAAGACAGATGGTGGACAGTGGAGAGAGTTCACAATGTGTAGTCAGACCATCAAAAGCAACAGAGGCACTTGGGCTTGCACATTCTTTGTCCGTTAGCTGAATTGTGATAACTGAGCAAGTAAATGCTTTCAGTCAGCCCAGCTGAAAATGAAAAGACTTAAACCGCTAAGTAAAAGGCTTAAAGCAGCTGATTCCACCAAGACCAACAGACAGTTGGAGGACAAATAAGTGGCTATGGTTCAGATAACAATTAAGAACTGGTTAAAATCTGGTAACTCTGTCAGCTTCAGTTGTGTGACCACCCCCCTTGTTTTTAACATCACACACCTCTGAAGACTCAATCAGCTTCACCATAACTCTTGCAGTGGCACCTGCAAGCCTTGAAATTGAAGCAATGTTATTCAGAAGCAAACTGCTTTGCAAGGAATGTGTCTAAGGATTTGTTATAATACAAAAGCTTATTGAAATGTGGGGATACAGAAATCCATGTACCTGTTTAAATTCCCAGTGCAAGTTCAAGCCTTTATTCACAGCTGTGTCACATTGCTCTATAACTGGCAGGTCCGCATTCCCAGGGTCTGTTAGGCATCTATCAACTGTATTCTGTTGGGCACGTAAACCTTCTATATGCATTTCTCTAGTGCTGTGATAAAAGGTGTGCTGAAATGGAAGGTGACACTACTGTCAGTGAATTAAGATACCAGGGAAATCTCATCAGCAGATGACAACAGACAGTTCCAAAACTGATATTGAGAGGTATCAGCTGTACAGCACCAGCATTAACTGATCTCTCAGTAATTAAACCAGGATGAATTTGACCCTATACAACACCTTCCTGCTTTACAATGAGAAAAAACAAGATGCTTACAATTGAACGGTAACACTTAGCTTCCCTCCTACTGAGAGGACAGGCAGTGAGGTGTGAGGAAGAGCTCCACTTCTCTCCCATCCATCCCACTGATCTTCTGTTAATCAACAAGATCAATCAGTATCAACACGAGGTCTCACAATTATTAGGCATGGCTAAAACAAAAGCCTTAGTTTAATGCACTTAGATCTCCAGGGGAACCTGCCCTTGTGCTAGTTGCATTGGGGAGCAGAATTTAATGAAATATAGGTTAATATTCCCCTTTATATAGCACAGAGGTAAAAGTTTTGAAGTGCCTATTTCATGGCCCTGTGGAGGCTTGAAAGGAACCGTTAGCAACCACTCATATATGAAGATCTGATCAGTTGGTTGCATTACCTGTGGTGAGTATGCATGACAGGGATACATAATTGGCGTGTTTCCAGGGACATGGCCGTGATCAATACAGATGTCTTCTTTCAATGTGTTTTTCAGCTGCAGAATAAAACAGGAAATTTACTGTGAGGAATAGCAATCCTGTTTTCAACTCCTCACCGCTAATTTTAGAAACTGTCCTGAGAGCAAGGCTAGTTTATTCAGAGCTCTGCACCGAATCCTGAAGTGCAAGATACAATATGGGTTTAGAAAAGAAATCTCAGGTTACCTTTGTATAAACGATTCATGACAGCAAAAATCAGAGGCAAATCTAAGGTCCTACAAAGACTCGTCCACATTGTGCCATGTAGCACCATGTCAGAAGTTACCACACAGCTCCAAACAGGTGAGTACCACTGCCCAGCTCCAGCAAGGTATGCAAGCTTGGCTCTAGAAAATGTCTACCTATATTAAGAAGTCACTGCAGTGCTGATTATTAGTTCTCACATTTGCAAACGGTGGCCTGACTTCCAGTGTATTGCATGCTGCCTTGATTCATGTCTGCATGATTTCCAAATTATGCTGCTAATCTCTGCAGAAAAAAATCCATATATTCCATTGAAAAATTCAGGCCCTTAAGTTAAAACCATGTTCAGAAGTACTGAATTTAATCAAAAGGAGAAAAAAAACCCTGTAATTTAAAGGACTTAGACAATTATTATTAAAGGAAAGTTTTTAATTTCCTGGTATTACTACTTTTCAACATTCCAAGGATGCTATAAGACTTTCCCCTTTTTCTTCCAGGAAAACCAAAGCAGAACTTTGGGCTGCAGAGAGAAAATCTCACTTAACAAAAGGCGTTTGGTATGTGATGAAGAGTAATTGAATTCTCTATTTAAAGTTTCATTTTCATTATTTAAAAGATATTCAGGGAGACCCAGATCACCAGAGACATGCCATTTCATGCAAAATTATGAATATTCTAGGTAAAATATTCCTTACTTTCCCATAAAAAAAATTAAAATGCATGTCAAGCAATTTCATTTTATATTCTTTAAGCTAGGCATCAGCTCTTGGTCTAAGCCTAAGAGGAACAGGTCTATCATCATGGCTCTTGGATGCCATCCGTATCAATAATTATTAACATATCAATATTAATTTATTTTTTTTCACAGTGACTCTTATAACCACACTATGCCTCTTTCTGCATGACCACATGCTTTTATTTGACCACTTTTAGACTTTTGTTTCCAATTTGAAACACAAAGAAACACTGCCACCTCAATTGGAAGATTCCATGAAAAGTAGACTGTGTACTTGTAGTCATGCATCCACACTTCGGCTACCTGCAAGGCATTGCATTTCACCACGATGCTCAAGTCTGGCAAGAAAGGCCTGTGAGCTCTTTCAGAATGAGCGATTCTTGAATGGGGCAGCATTTCTCCTTTACCCCCACATTGCCTGGTCTAGGCCAAGAAGGGAGAATTTAAGGTAAAGTTGCCCATTTATTCAAACTCTTTGCACTTTTTGTTGAAGCGCTCCTATTTCTGCTTCCCCTGCTCCTTCACCAGATGAACTGGCATGCCCTCAACATTAAAAGCTGTATTTTCTGACTTGAGTGAAGGAAAAGATGTTTTCAATACCTTTCATTTCTGCTGTGCGTAGCCCTATCACAGGTCCAGGAGAGTAAAGGCATATTCTTTCTTCTTTTTCTTTGCCATCACCGTTAACAACACAAGTTGCCAGTTTCCTGTGACAAGGCACTCAGATTGACTGGCACAGTTGCACTAAAGCAAACGGGTATATACCTCCTCACTAGGAGCTAGACTGCTAAATACTGTGGTGGTTATGGGCCTGAATCCTTCAGAAGCAATGACATTGCCCTGGACATGCCAAGAGCAAAACTGGTCCTGCAAAATCTTACACACTGGGGAGAATTCAAAAGAAAAAAAAAAAAATCCAGTGGATTCCTGGAAAATATCTACACGGAATTCAAAGAGAAACCTCTGCAGGACACAGCCAATGCTTCAAAAGTTCTGAGGGTCCAGAACAAACACACCCAACTCGACTACACATGAACCAGTGTAAGTGTGGAAGCTCTTCAAAAGGCCAGCAGCTATGCTGAACTGAACTTAAGCTGGGAAGTCCACATGGCACTGCATAATGCAGATTTATTACACTAGTTTAGCAATCACCACACAATGCTCCACTGTGTGCTAGAAACTTCCTTCATATCTTCACATAAAATTTTCCAGGGCTGGCAGCTGGCTGCTTGCTTGCTAACCAAGCATATTTAACACAGGAAACTCTCAGGATGTAAATAAACAGAGACCTTTAATAATATTCTTACAGTCAATTTTCAGAGCAGCTTTGTGTTTTAACTGAACCGATTCTTCATTGCTTTCACCTCCAGCATTTATGTAAATGACTACAGAGTAGACATACATTGCCTCCACTGGTAATGGTGCAGAGCAATAAAGAATAAAGTGTAAATGGATTTTCAAGTAACAGAATTGAAATATTAATTCACAACCTGCCTCACATGATGTGAGGTGATGACATGTGACGTTTCAATCTCACAGATAGAATCTGAAGGATGGGGTTTTGGCCACGTCCACCATGAGGAATGGAGAAATGTGTCAACATCTCTAATATAGCATCAACCCAAGTTAGTACGTCCACGTGACTCAGTGGGGTGCCTCACACTTTTTTTTTTAACATAGCATTTAGCGTGTTTGGAATACTGTTGGTCTATTTCCTCTTGATCATCTCTTCTACAAATCACAAAACCTTGTTTAGGCCTATCTCTTCTATATTGTCACATATTGCAGGAACTCTATTCATTCTGTTTCCTATCCTTCAGATTCTTCAATTGCTCCACATCTGCCCTGATGTACAGTCCCAGAACTCAAAACACAACCCCAGAAGAGCACTTAGCAGTAGAAGAGAAGGATCAATGCCATCATTTCCCATCCAGCTGCACAGCCATGTTGACTCATATAAAGTCTGTTACTCCCAGCTTTTTTCTAGCTGTATGTTCCCCAACCTGCACCTCTGTAGCTGTTTATTCCTCATATTTCTCCTAATTACTGCTGGTTTTCTTCTTTGCACACGGCATGCTACCCTGTTAGAGAAAAAAAATAGACTTGTTTGACATGATTTGTTCAGACAAATGTATATTGTCTGTAGTATCTTTTATGTGCTTATTAATAGATACCAAAACAAAAAAGAAAAAGGTGCAAGAACATGAGAAAACGCCCACACTGGATCAACAGTCCGTCTAGCCTAGTATTCTGTATCTCACAGTGACTGCAAACTTATTCCTGGGGAAGGTTAAGAACAAGACAAGTACATATATTACTTTTCACAGCCCCCCAGTTGTTTTCGGGTCAGAGGACTTTCTGCATATTTTTGTGATTCACTTTTGTTTACTAACTCTGAGTAGGTTTTTCTTCCATAACTGTCCAGTATCCCCACAAATGACAGCAAGTTTTAAGACCCACGATACCTTTTGGAAGCTCTTGCCCTGCTGTTCTGTTCTGCTACGGGAAAAATGACATACTTCCTCCTCACGTTCATTTTGAAACTGGTTACTGGCTTCTTTCAAAGCTCCCTAGTTTTCATTTTTACAGTGGAAGAGAATAATCAAATGCTTTTTCCTAGACATTTAAGTCTTGCTAGTAGATTTATAATTCTCATGTCCTACCATCCTTTCTCTTTACAGAGATAAGTGCAATGTTCATTTTTTTTTCTTTTCAGGTCTTCTAGAATATCTCCAACCATCATTACTTTTAAAAAAATACACATCAATAGAATTTTTAGTGCTGTTCCCTAGTAACTAAAGACACTCCAGATAATCCAGTGGATATCTGGCTGGCATGGTTCTTCTCATGCTGCAGGGGGGCAACCTGCTTCACCATGGTCTTCTCCATGGGCTGCAGGGGAATTTCTGCTCCAGTGCCTGGAGCACTTCCTCCACCTCCTTCTTCACTGACCTTAGTGTCTGCAGGGCTGTTTCTTTCATATTTCTTCCTCACTCCTCTCACTCACAGCTGGTAAGCAGCATTTTTTACCCTATTTTAAATACATTTTTGCAGAGGCACCACCAGTGTTGCTGACTGGCTCAGCTTTGGCCAGCACTGTGTGCATTTTGGAGTCAGCTGGAACAGGCTGTGTTCAACATGGGGGCAGCCCCTCACCTTTTCTCACAGAAGCCACACCTGCAACATCCCCCACTACCAAAACCTTGCTGTGCAAACCCAATAAAATAAGATGGGACTAGAAAAATATGATAACTATATCTCATATCTTGTGAGGTTTTTTAATATTGTTTGATAGATGGCTGTTAATAGCTGAGGGACAGTCAACATCTGACATCCTTGTAGAACAATGAAACAAGTGGGTTTATATACTCAGTACGAGATGGCTGCTGGTATCATAGTACTGGCAACCATCTTGTGTGGAATATGTAAAATAATATGAGCAGTTAAGGGAGATATCAGGAACAGAAAAAAATACATTATATCCTAGGCCTAGCAGTAAGGGGCCACTTTAGGTATACCAGCTGTGTGTATTGCATTCATGTCTTTTTCTTGCTTTTGTGTGAAACACAAGTGATAAGGGTTGAAAAGGGCTGTCCAAGATCATGGTAATCATATGTCACTCCAACATCTCCAAAGGAAGAACTGCACAACAGGAATCCATGTGAGTCCTCACAGCTCAGATATGCAACTGTCCAGCAAAGTTCTGAGATTCACTCCATATTCTTGGACAAGCATGGAGAGGGCCTACAGTTCATCTTTTACAGTCAACAAATATTGCTACCACACTCCTAGCTAAGGAACAAAGACAGAAAAACCAATGACTCGGGGATTGCCTGAAGATTTGACAGCAGGATCAACACAAGGCAGATTCTGTTATACAACCCTGTAACTGATATACTGAGATTTTCAGGGCTGCTAAAGAGCCCATACTTCCAAACTAACTATCAAGATATCATGCACTTCATAGGTATCTATCCCACCACCTGTGAAACATCTTCTCTCTGCTAGCTCTACATTGGATATCACATACTTTGGCTCACTCTCAAATGCTATTTATACTTACCGCACTGGAGCTATTTAATCTTTAAGAGCATACCATTCAGCTGGTAAATGTTCATAAAGGCAGCAGAATGCCCAGTCAAATCCATCTGCAGCCACTGAACACTGAAGAAGCTCAGAGTCATCAAAACAAATATTGTCAAATACTGGTGATATCATAACAGTGCGATCTTTTATTCTAGCCAAAATAGGTTCAGCCTTACCAAAATTAACAGACACAGCCTATTCATCTTGAAAAAGTGAAAATCTAATGAACAGTACTAAACTTTACTACCTTTTTCTAAAACCAGGTTAGCTAGTGTATTTAAGTTACTGACTTTAGCTTCTACAAAAAGTTTAGTCTTGGAGTACTTGTAACCTGAATTGTTAATGCCCCAGCTCAATTCTCCCTCCCTTCTGCATTTTGGCTGTCACTAGTCACACTAACTGTAAGTTCCATGCTTAACTTGCTGGCTTTGCTTCCTACAGTCTCCAGAGACTCTTCACTATCTGCATGAAGAGACAAGAGGGAAGGAAAAGGAAGGGAAGGAGACCC